AAATTTTACTTTGTATATATATATATATATATCTATACTAAAAACAAAAAAGTTACTCTTAGGATATAGGAGTCCTTGCTTGTGCCTTCTAATAGAGTCTGCTAAAAAAATAAAATATAAATAAATAAGAACAAAGGAATGCGCAACTATCTCTCCTAAGAAAATTTCAATTGTATGAAAATGAACACAAAAGAAAGAAACAACTAAATGTTGTTGATCATTTACATTCTATTATTAAAAAAAATACAAAGAGTCATATGCAAAGAATTTACGTCTATTCAAATTTAAAAATGATCACTTGCAAGTCACGTCATGAATTCCGGCAAAAAACTAGTCGGAAATCTAGATAGGGAGCAAAATTGACCAATGTGAATTTGTAAGGGACGTAAAATTACACTTTTAAAAATAAGGGATGAAAAAAGTCATTTTACAAAATGTGAGGGACGTTTTGAACGATTTTCCCAAAATATAAATCAGATTTCATATTCAACCAGTTATTTAAATCACTAGCAAATTCAATTCACATTAAATGAATATAACAATAGTAGAACATGCAAACATCCATACAAGATTTAAGTTATGCTATGAGAGTTTAGGCCATCCAAGTGATCAGTCCATTCTAGTATTACTGTACTTTATATATAAATTAATTGATCAACACATTCTAACGTTACAGTCTCCACTATAACAATTTATTTAACTTGGCTAAAAAATGGAAAGCAAAGGTATTCATATTGTGCATATTGTTTCAAGTGCTGATACTTGTGTCAAAGTTTATATCTTAGTCAACCCATTACAACAACTTCCCCAACAAAATATGAAATACACGTAGGCAAAGGTATCGATATTAGAATATTGTTCGAAATATTGATATAAATATCTATATATATATATATGATATGATAGTTGAATTAGAATTATATAATGTTTTTTAATATAAGTGGGATAGCTCAAACTCGAGATTTCTCATTTACACTCGCTCCCCTTGAACAATCCAACCCATCCTACCCATCCAGAAATAAACTAATATAAACTAACTTAACCTTCTAGAGACTAACTTATTTAATATAATTAAACTAACTTATTAACTATAATGACCTTCTATAAATTGATATTACATTTTAACCTTTTTAAGTTACTAATACTTTTAAATTCCATCTATTGTTCTCATGCCATCTAAATTCATTGTTCAGGCTGAACAACATTATTTTGTATATAAACAACTGGTAAAACATGATATTTGTTTTTGAACAATAATTTTGGTAAAATATGATATTGTCAATATTTGTTTGTCAAGGTTAAAAATACAAATTAGTCAAAGGGTAAAATAAAGGGCCAATTCAGAAAAATGTCATGCCATGATGCAATGAATTCAAAGAATTGGATAACGAAAACGAAAAATAGACGAATATTATAGTTTGAAGTTGACAATCAAAATTATATAAAAAAAACTCTAGCATCTAACTTACTACACTTTGGGATGATAAAATCACATGCAAAGCACATAAAGTTTTACTAGTTACCAAAGTTTCTCAATTATAAACTGTATTGGAAAATGGTCTATGCCAAGCCCCAAGAAAGCATATTCTACATCCTTTCAAATGCCAACACACAAATAATAATGAGAGAAAGACGAACAGCCATCAACTATGCCATTAGTGAGTTACATATGTATGCCTCTCTCAACCGTTAATACAAAAGTTGAATGCTTTGTGTACTGAAACTCAAATGCTTTGTGTACTGAAACTCAAATGCTTTGTGTACTACACATTTATCAGATAAATGGGGATTAAACGCTCAAGAAAAAGTGCAGACGAAAATGAAGAATCACAATTGCAGGAATCACAACCTTATGATGGTACAAATTTCAGCAAGCCATTGCCTAAGAAGTTGTTTCTGCCTTGGATCGATACCCCTATAGATGAAGAAGATGAGTATCTTGGACTTGAAGTAGAAAACTCAACCTCAGGAGACACAGATGCCAATCATCCGCAGTCAGAATCTGAAGGTGCTTCTGAATACAGTCCAGATCAAGAGCACCTCGATTCAGAAGCAAATGAAGCAGAAGACCAAGCCGAAAAGAGAGGGAAAGGGAACTTTAATTGCTCACACTTCATCACTACAACAGGAAAGGGACCTTTCGTAGCTCAAAGCAAAGCAAAGGGCTCCGTATCTCATTGTCATGATGGAGCTGACTCTGCAAATATGCGAAGTCTTTCGAAGTCCATTGCAAAAGAAAAGGTACCGTTAGTTGCTCAAAGCAAAGCAAAGTTCTCTGTTTCTCCTAGTTGCTACGAAGCTGATTCTATGACAGAGAAAATTCTTGCAAACTCCATCCTTGCAAAAGGAAAGGAACCCTCAGAAAGTGGAAATACTCAAACTGATTTAAGAATTTCAGAGGGGACAGTTAAAAAGTCGAGTTTTTCAAAAAGTGTGGTTTCAAGAGCTAGTGGGGGCAATAGACCACCTAAAAGAGTGAGCTTTCAAGAACTTGACAGTGAACATGATAGAGATAATCACAAAAGTGAGAAAGCACAGGGTCCCTCTTCTAGTGAAATTCCTAGAGGGCATGATGGTTCCGAGGCAATGAAAACTTTGGAGGAGCAAGATCTGGTGGAGCAATTGGCCGAAGTGGAGATACAAGCAGCTCATCTTTACATGGAGAGGTTGGATTTGATCAAGGATTGTTTGGATGGGGTTAAGAAGCACTACAAGCTTGACTAAGATGTCAGCCTTTGCTGATATGTTGGCATAGGAATTTTGTTCAGTCCTGATGGTGGAAGGGTTTATTTTTGATTGCGTAGTTCAGGTGATACAGAAGAAAATCTGAAACTCTGTTCGCATCGTTATCATATTAACTTTCTGTTCAATAATGTAGGCTTATTATATGAGTACTAATTTATATTGATACTCAATTCAGTTAATTTTGTGACATAAGAAACTTTTAAAATAAAAATCTTTATCAAGTAAAATTTGTAAATTCAAGCATGGCATCGATAGTAAAATTTACTGCACCAAAAACATACTTGAAGATAAAACTCAAAGGACTTTAATTCTCACCTATTCATAATATGCTTTGCCAGTTAACTTCTTTTTTGTTCTAATTTCATCATTTGAATCATAATTAAAAACAGATTAGTCAGTTACACGCTTCAGATTTGATTTTAGTACCTTTCCCATTTTTGTTGATTTTGGCGGCTAATAGTTGTATGCCTTGGTCTGAGCATTTGTCTGCTGTTGAATTTTTTTTTTCCGAAATCAAGTCTTTTTTCTCACGTGTTAGCCTATTTATGGAGAATTATATGCATTTTTTGTTTGATTTGTGATGGCTACCACTTGACAGATTGTACATTTAAGAGATTGGATTTTTTTTATTAATCTTTTAACATGTTCCATCTTAGAACCCACAGAAGGACAAAGTGGACTGGTAAATGTGATCCAATACTGATCAAGGATCTGATGGCTCTGGCACTTGGCTTTATTGGGATTCTTCCTTGCCATGTTTCTGTCCACAAATTGTGGATTTGGTGTCTTTGTTAATCATATTTAATGCGGTTTTGTTTCATTCCAGAATCTTTTTTTACTAGATGTTGTCTTTGACAGACGTTTTTGGTGCTGGTTGCATAGTTTGGCCTTACTTTTATGTTCAAATTATGAATCAAAGGATGACTAGATCCATTTGTCTGCTAATCTTGCAGAATTACTTTAGCTGTGTTTTAGATGTTGCCAAAGCATATATTTCTATTATTTACTGCATTGCTTCTTTGAACTTGCACTACAGAAGTGTAGATAATGTTGCCATTTTGCTGAATTTAGTTGCACATTGTTTGTTTCTTTATCTAAAGTTTCTTGTTGGTTCCTGAATATTAAGTACATAGCACTCCACCTAGAGTTCAATTTACACTTAAGTGAAATAGAATGCCTTATATTATATCTTTAGAGTTTCAGTCTTCTAAACGTCTATCAACTGGCCTACACAGGGAATGGATAGGAACTGGTAAAACAACTGGAAAATGGCCTGATGCATTTTTTATGTTCTACAGGTTTCAGTCTTCCAACAAGCGTATTTTCTTTGGCACTCTGATAAAGTTGCAAAATTAACTATGCTAATGAAATGTTCTTGTAATTAAGAATCTCTAGAAGTGCCTGCAAAATTGGTTCATGATTAAGCCCTTCAGCTTTCCAATGTTATTAATATGAAGCAGGAACTCATGACTATAAAATTCTGCTTTGGTCTTCTTTCTGTTTTCACTGATGGAGCTAGAGAATAATCAAGAAAAAACCTTATATTTGATCTTTCACCCATTCTGGTTAGGCATCCAAATGCAAACTAGCTTTCAATAATCACAACATCAAAGAAATAAATTTTAACAAGTGAGACAGAAAAACTAAGATGAATTTTCCTATAACTGCACTAGGAGCATCCCATGACTTTAAAAATTGAAAATCACAAGATCTTGTTTCCTTCAACAGTTGTTCGAACCATCTCAAGCTCTATCTGAGAAAGAACCATTTTTGTAACATCTCTTTCAATGATAACATCTCTAGTAGTTTTTTTTTTTTTTTTGGACTAAACTTTGTTGTATATTTTATCAAGAGCAATTTCCACAGCAGCTTCAGCAAAATCAGGTTCTAGGCTCTCACTAGCCTTCCTCCTCTTCATCAACTCCTATTCCATGGACTTCCTAGCTTTTGAGCCATCTTCTATGTTGGCTCTCAACTCAAGATTTTCACTCTTTGAGCAATCTCACATTCTCACATATTTTTCCAACATCCAACTTCAAAACAGATATTGTGCTTTTCTTGGCCTGCAGCTGAGATTTGAGTTCTTGGCCTTTTGCAACAACTTCTTTAAGAGAGTCGTTTTTCAGCTTGAAATTCATTTGCTGAAGCAGCTAAAGAGGCCAGCAACAAAAATTCCTTTTTCTTGAGCTCTTCAACCTCAACTGTCAAGATGTCATTGGCTTTCATCAGTTCACTTGTCCTTATATCAGCATCTTTCACTGTGTGTTGGTCCTTTTCTGATTTTGAAACCAGGCAAGATGCTTTGTGTCTTCCTCGGCTGCAATTGCCTTCGCATGGCCAAGTTCAGCTTCAAGAAACTGCAAAATGTAGGAATTTTTGTTTTCCAGAATGACGAGTGAAAAGAATAAGATATTTTCAAGTACTACAAGAATGAATAAAAGGATGTAATGGGGTATGGTTACAGATATTCCCAAACAACAAAGTTCAAAATCTTTTTGTGGCCAAAAATCCATATTATCACATTTCGTAACATCAAAAATCCATCAAACCATGAACTTGAGCAAGGTAGAAAAGCTATTACCTTATGGAAGTTTGTAGTTGATCTGCAACTTGATCCAAATGCTCCATCATCTGATCCAACTTCTTCACGTAAAGAACTCTTTGCCACTACAGCACTGTACTTTCCCTCCTCCCTTAATATCTCATTTGTCTTGGAATGACAATCACCTCCAATCTGATATTCTGTAACAAGCTCTTCATCCAGCCAATCAGCAACCCATACTTTACTGGATAATTCGAAGAGTTTACATTGTTATGGACATGCTTCACTTGCTGAGAAAACTTCAAAGTGTTCAAAGTTTCAGCAGAGCAGCTGATGAACAGAAATTAAGATCAGATTCTTATATTACAGTACCTCTTACCTTTTAGCCACAATAAGAACAGAAAATAGCCAAAACATGGTACGAACCAAATTGAAGGGCTAACATTGGCTATTATCATTGTTTTTGAGTTCCCACTGAGAGTCTCCTGTATTTGACTTTGTATCAAAACAATGGTAACATGTGCATGACTGAAACCAAGGACACAAGAATAAATACTTGTTGAACTTTAGTAGAAATGTGAGTCTTGAATCTCTATATGGCAGATGCCTTGGACTCCCATTCGCCACATTCACAAGAGCCTTTATTACATGACTACAAGAAGAAATTTGTAGTTAAATTTAGTTTTTAGCAGTACATGACCAAAATGGCATCATTGCCAATTAATAAAATAATGATAATGGTAGTACCTGAGAGCAAACAAGGATTCATTTATACAAGCCTCCTTTAGAGGCTCAGCTTCAATGCAAAAAGCTTTTTGCCTGTCGTAAATCAGAAGTAATGTGAAAATTGTGATTCAGTACAATAGACTTTTGACTAATTAATGAATAACAAGCTTGATCATGATGCACTGCCTCTCCAAACCTGCAAGATCAATAAGGTTTAGCCTGACAAAATGGAAGTAACAGCTGCTATCTTTTTCCCACATACTCTGAATTTCACCGGTAAGAATGCTAGGTGATAGGCTCCTGTCTTTGTTTGTATTGGTAGCTGCAACTTTCTTATTTAAAGAACCCTAAAGCAACAAATTAAAATTCACCATTTTGAAACATCTTAATATATCACTACATCCTGCATGTACTAAAATGATTGTGATGGCCAAGCGATATAAACAATAATATTCAGTCACCTGTCTCAGAAGTTCAAGAATATCACCAACAGCTTGGACTCTTAGTTCAGAAAGATTTTCAACGTATACACCTTTCTTAGTATCCTCCCGCAGCATAAAATAGGAAATGTGGTGATCAGATGATATGCAATACCTTAACTCATTATAATTATCATAGTAGTCCAAATAGAAAACTGAAAATACCAGCAGGCTAGTTGGTGAAGTGTCCAGCAGATCAATAATCTGTTCATTATAGATCTCCAACAGTGGACATTTACAGTTAAATTTTAACTTCTGATCCATACGGCTTTCCTCTTCCTAAGAGTACAAGTGCCAAACAAGCATGTTCAGGTTAAAGTTTAACATTTTCTTTATTAGAAATTTAGTTGACAAAGCAAGCAAGAATGTCAATCTTACAGATCTGATTCTTCTGAACAGGAAGTCAAATATGCGGGATACCATACCACAATTTAAGCTAGGTTTACTACATTGTTGTTCAATTTCACCAAGCATTGTGTATGTTTTTCCACTTCCTGCCTGCATTATTTATCTTTCTTGTCAGAACAAGCCATTAACTTGAACCAAAAGTAAAGAAAACTGAGCAGGTTAAGGCAATTGAACTTAACTGACATAGGTAAAAAGACATGGTTCAATTTATTTTAACATCTAAAACCCAACGAAAGGCTGACAGTCATCGATTTAAAAAAACTCTGGCAGCTAGTAAGATGTCTGCTGACTTTACAAAGACTAGAACTTTCTTTTCATACCTGCCCATAAGCAAGCAGCATACAACAATTGTATCCAGATAAGGAATTCTCCACCATTGCCACACCAATAATCCTGAAAAGTGTTTCCTGCAAAAGGACTATAAGAATTTCAATTGCAGTAGCTTAAAACTGTATACAGCTTTAGAAAAGCTATAATCAGCTTGTTGAGTTTTTTAGAAACCTGGTCTACTGTTTCACATGCAACATGATCAAATGTAAATCTTGTTTTGAGGTTCCCTAGTCCAGGTGACACTTTCTGCTGAATCCTGCTTTAAGCACGGAGAATAACTATCAGTGCTTTTCTCTACACTACTGAGAGGCCACACTTGTACCAAATTTTTACGAATCCTACTGCAAATTAATGTTAACCTCCATAATTAACATGAACTGATGCAAGTAAAATGATAATATAATTTTGGACCTACTCATCAAGGATTGAAAATAATCTATCCCATAGGATTAAACTGCTACATTTATACTGGAACTATATAGAATTTAATAGAATTCATTTCACAGAAATAACCTAATTACTTGTACGTTGTTCTCTGACCAGAAGGATGAATCCTTCTTGGTTTCAAAATGATGAACTTCAGCAGTATTCCTGGCAGAAAATGAACTACTGCTAGAAACAGATAGCCCTTCAGGAAGAGCAGAAATCTTGGACTTCCGAGCACTGCCAGTGACGGGTGAAGGTTTTCTAGCCAAACAAGAACATGAACTCGGAGGCTTGCTCATATTACTCTTGGTCGTACTCGAGTAACTGCACCAGGGAATTATACTGCTCATATCAATTTTCCCTTCATCCTTCATTCCCGCAGCAGTTGAACTAGAAGAATCACTTCTTTCTTGCCTATTGGGTGTAACCTGAGAACACAACGAGTCCTTTGTGTCCATTGGAACATGCCCAGTTTCTTCAAGATTTCTTGATACTTGCCAGAATTTCAGTACAAGAACTTCGGATGATCTCTCAACACTGTAGTACATATTTGAGGACAATAATATGAAGCATAACAAGAGTAACAAGGAAAGAATGGACTTTGGATTTTCTACCCGAAAGAGAGAGTGAGAAAACACGAATTATACAGAAAAAAGGCTGATTTTATATTGATTTTGAAATTCAGTAACAAGGAAAATGAACTAAAGATTTATGGCACAAAAGTTTGAATTAGTTTGATCACAATGGCCACACTCCAATAGTCAACCAAGAAAATTGAAAGGGCAACTTAAAATTTGTTGATAAGTAATTATTTTACTAGTTTTTGTTTAGTCATTTGATTTATTTTTAACTGTGTTTTTAATTAAAAATGATGAAATTAAGCTATTTTAGTTAACATTCATTCAAAGTGAGGAATTGAATTGGAAAATGCTTTTGAGCAAAATTAATGCACTTTTTGGATAATTTTTGTAAGGAATTGAAGCACGTGGAAGTTGCAAAGATTCAAATTGAGATGATTATAATGTAATCTCTAACATAAACCGTGGAAGGCCGGCCAACAGTAGATTGCAATTGATTCTCCCGGTTATATTGCGATTCCACTACTTATTTTGTCCTTCTTGGTCTTTTTGGAGCTGCAAGGTTAAATGGGGACCATTTCTCCCACTGTTCATTGACCTTGGGTAATTTTCTTTTGGACCATTTTGTCCTTTTGTCTTGGTTATCTTGTTATTTGCAATTCAATTTTGGACTCTTTTTTTTGACGAAACGATAAGATTTTTCCATTCAGTAAAAGAAATGTACATGTACGAGCAAAGGCTCGAAAAACTTTACAACTAGTGCTCAATTGCACTGAGGAAAATACCATTCCTCATCCACAAAAATGCCTAAGGCATAAGAACTTAAACTTTCACATCTTGTCATATTTTCTTCACTAACCAACTCAAAAGAGCACATGCGAAACATCTTCTATAATTCAACAATGTCATCAATCAGAGTTGTTAAACAACTGTCTGAAGAGCTCGGATGCTTTAACTGTCTCAGTAACTCCTTGTTGTGGGACAAAATTTTGATTTTGTCCCAGTGTTGCTCCATAGCTTTACATAAGACCAGTTTAACTGCTACTGCATCATCAAGGAGCTTGGTTCCAAGTGTTCTCTCCTTTAGTGCCCATTCTGCAATCCTTATTTGCGAGTATTTCTTAGCTATAGCTCCAATTCCAAATGACGGTTGCCTTTGCTGACTATCTTCATGCTCCTGATGGTTCACTGTCTGGGTAGAAGCTGTTTCTCCTGTGCTGATTCTATCCTTGGTTTTTCCTAGTTCCTCTTGTTCCAACCACTCCTTCTGAGCCTTGTTCATTGTCCTCACTGGTGGACTTCTGTATTGGTTTTCGAAAGCCTGTTTGTTTCTTTTCCCTAGTTCCTCTTGTTCCAACCACTCCTTCTGAGCCTTGTTCATTGTCCTCACTGGTGGACTTCTGCTTTGGTTTTCGAAAGCTTGTTTGTTTCTTTCTTTCCACACTTGCCACAGAATGTTTGCAGTCAGTCCAATATGCTATGCTCCTTCTGGTCTTGTCTTTGCCTCTGATATTTTGCACGACCATCGTTTGAAGTCTCCTTGTTGATCTCTAGCTCCATCCCATTGAATTGGGGCCACCTTCCATATATCCATGGTATTTGGACAGTTTAATAGAAGATGTTCCACTGTTTCCTAACACTCCCCACAAGCTCTACATACTGGATCTCCCATTCCTGTCCTTCTAAAGATTGCTTCCCTAACTGGCAATGCCTCTTTAATGCACTTCCATATAAACAGCTTAATCTTATGTTTTATGTTTAGCTTCCAAAGAGTATTCCACATCTGTTTCAGTTGCTGACTTCCTTCCATTATGCTTGGACCAGCTTCTCCTGATTTTGCCTTCTCAGAACTATCCCTTTCCTCCATCAGAAGTTTGTATCCAGATTTTACAGAATAACAACCTCCCTCATTATGTTGCCAAAAATAGCTATCCTCCCTGCCTATTAAACTTATAGGAATGCTCAAAATCCTCTCTGCATCTTTTTGGTTAAAAGTTCTGAAGATGGTGTTTCTATCCCAACTTTTATGAATGATAAGCTCATGCACCATCCTCAATGAATTGTTAAGAGGTCTTGGGGTAATAGGCTTACCAGAGGATGTTCCAGGGATCCATTTATGCTCCCAGATGTTTCTGCTTCTCCCATCTCCAATCCTCCTGATTACCCGTTTTTCAATTAAGCTTCTGGCTCCTAAAAGCCCTTGCCAAATCCAAGAAGCATTCTTTTGAGCTTTACACTTGAATATGGAATCCTTGGGGAAATACTTAGCTCTAAGAACTTTACTGATAAGTAGATTTGGCTTGGTTAATATTCTCCATATCTGCTTCCCCAACAAGGCCTTGTTAAAAGCCTCTATATTCTTGAATCCCAAACCACCTTCAGGTCTATCCAGAGCCATTTTTTTCCATGACAGCCAGTGTATCTTGCTTTTCCCATCCGTTTCTCCCCACCAGTAGTTAGCCATAGATGCAGTGATGTCTTTGCACAGTTTCCTTGGCAGTTTAAAATAAGACATGGCATAAGTAGGCATTGCCATAGAGACAGCCTTCAACACTACCTCCTTGCCTGCACTACTTAGCAACTTGTTTTTCCAACTCTGAAGCTTCCTTGTTATGTTTTCTCTGATGAAACCAAACACCTGATCTTTTGTTCTTGTTATCACCATTGGAAGGCATAGATACTTTCCTTATGTCATTTCCATGATTCCACCTAGAGCACTGCATACTTCCTTCCTTTGCTCCAGAGAGATGTTTTTGCTAAAAAAATAGCTGGTTTATCCAGATAAATCAGCTGACTTGATGCCTCTTCATACGTTTTGAGGATCTTCATAATTTCATTGGCCTATTGAGTACTGGCTTTACAGAAAATGAGTGAGTCATCTGCAAAAAAGAGATGTGTAATGATAGGCCCTTGCCTACTGATTCTCAGCCCCTTTATCTCGTTCCTTCCTTCTGCTTTTCTCAGTAAACTTGAGAATCCTTCTGAACAAATTAAGAAAAGGTAGGGAGACAAAGGATCTCCCTGCCTTATTCCTTTCCCTGGTGTAACAAAACCTTTGGTTTTCCCATTGTAGTTGAAGGAGTAAGTAACAGTCTGCATTCAACTAGTAATCCAGTTGATCCATTGTGGACAGAATCCCATCTTCTGCATGATTGCCTGCAAAAAATGCCACTCCACCCTATCGTAGGCTTTAGCCATGTCCAACTTGATTGCCATGTATCCTTCTAATCCTTGCCTTTTATTTTTGAGATAGTGCATATACTCATGGGCTAGGATCACATTGTCTAAAATCTGCCTATCAGGAATGAAAGCTGATTGTGTATTACTAATGCAGATGTCTAGAACAGGCATTAGCCTATTAGCCAGAATTTTAGATATTATTTTGTAAATCACACTGCACAGGCTAATAGGCCTAAAGTTTTTCAAGCAAGTTGGATTCAGCATTTTAGGAATGAGGGAGATGGCAGTGTGGTTAATTGATTTGACCATATGGCCAGTGTTAAAAAAAGAAAGAATAGCAGGGATGACATCTCTTTTTATAATGTTCTAGAATCTTTGAAAGACGAGGGGTGACATGTCATCCTGTCCTGGAGCTTTATCATGCTGCATGGAGAAAAGTGCTGCCCTGATCTCTTTCTCTTCTATTGGTTTAGTTAGCTTAGCATTCGTCTCTTGAGTTATGGAATGGGGAATACTCTCTAGAACCTCTGACATATCACTCCTACCTCCACTAATAAAAAGCTCTCTAAAATAATCTGAAATTTCTGAAACTACTTCTTCATCATTCTCAATCCATGAGCCATTTTCCTTCTGCAACTTTCTGATTCTATTGCTTGTTCTCCTCCCCTTAACATGAGCATGGAAGTACTTTGTATTCTTATCTCCTTCTCTTAGCCAATTGATCCTGGCTTTTTTACTCCAGAAATTTTCTTCCTTAGTATAGGCTACTTTGAGCTGAGTCTTAAACTCAGCTATTTTCTCTTTTCTGTTCTCATAGTTTGAGTCTTTCTCTTTCCAGCTCCTCTTTTATCTCCTCAATCCTGCTTTTGGAGTTGGCTTTGAATGTATTTCTCCACTTCAGAAGTTCAATCCTACAGTTTCTAATCTTCTTTGTAACTTTGAACATACGTGATCCAACTTCCTCTTTTTGCCAAACTCTTTCCACTACCTGATGCACCTCTTCCCTTTGAAGCCACCTTTTATCAAAATAAAATCTCTTTTTCTTTTTTTCCTTCCCTGGACAAGTGTTTAAACACAAAATACTATGATCAGAGGCGTAAGTGTCAATGTGTTGACAACTCGCCTTTTCAAAAGTCTGGCACCACTCAAAGCTTCCCAAACACTTGTCCAGTCTTTGCCTAACCTCACCTTCATTATCCCAATGGTTACTCCAGGTCCAAGGGTGACCTTAGAATCCTATGTCAACCAAATTATTTTGATCCAGGAGGTCCTTAAAATCTCTAAAGCTCCTCTCTTCTCTAGCTACACCACCCCACTTTTTTTCATTAGAAAAAATATCATTGAAATCCCCAGCTATCATAAATCTGCTTCCCCACAGCCTACTTCTCTCTTTTAGAACCTTCTATTGATTCTTCCTAATCTGAGCATCACAGCTCGCATACACACCTATAAACCACCATACACACTTGAAATCTATATCCTCTATCTTAGCTTCAATGGTGAAGGCAGTCTGATGCACTTCCAACACCTGAGTGTCTTCCTTCCACAACAAAGCCATCCCACCAGCCTTATTCATAGCCTCACCACTGCACTATTCTCAAACCTCAGGCCCCTAGCAATCCTATCTACTCTCTATTTCCTATTCTTGGTTTCACTTAAGAAGATCAGGTTTGGAGAGAGAAGGGTATTTACCTCCCTCAAATGGGGAACTGTCAAGGGGCTCCCCACTCCTTGACAATTCCACACCAAGACTCTCATATTTGCATGGGGGCCCCATTCAGGATGGACCC